TTAGTTCTGAGATCTAACAAATTAAGTCACGTTGTTTGATTTGATCCTAAGCAGTACGTCCTGTATATATATAATCTTACAAAAGGAACACACCTGGCCCTTCTGGGGGTGATGGTTCTGGCCCCTTGTTGCTGGAGGTTGGAGGTGCGGGTGTCTTGTCCTTCGATGCAGTTGGTTCTGGAAGAGGAGCGCAAACCTTACTAATTGGCTGTGTCGGGTGGTAGCGGAGTTAAAAACTAATTTATATTTATGCGATCTAACCCAGAAAACATCATGGATATGATGATATCAATATATTAACCATGTGCTTTGCAACTAATTTTACTAATGTACCTGGGCTTCGTGAAGATGGACTTGGTGCAGGAGGTCCACCTGCTCTGGAGCGGCAGAATCTGACCTTGTAGTTGTAACATGGCAGTCCTCCTTGATCCTCATTTACATATTTCAGTCCTTTATTCTTGTCACAAGTTATTGTCTGCCCCAATTCCTGCCATGGGGTATTGGGGAATCTCTCTGCTTTGCATTCAATGTTTTGCACTGGTGAGTCAGGCAGACAAACCACTTTCCCTGAGGCTATGACCTTCTGGTAAGATTCCTCATCTCCGCCATTTTCTTCATCAGGATATTGCTCATCGTACCAATCAGACCAGCCTGGAGTACAGTCTTCTGCAAAGATACATTTTAAATCAGTCTTCAAACGATTACTATATATATCAACTCCTTTTTCTCCACGGTAATGTTCTGAAAGCTAATTTTTTTTATCAAAACTATGAATGCTCCATTGCTATGAGCGTAATACAAACTTTGCATATCATTTTGCACAGGAAGTATACAGTGAGTCTCTTCATCCTGAGTTAACCATACGTAAACCTTTAGAATGTTGTGGAGGCTCAAAGCTAAAGAACAGTGAGCTGCCAACTCCTGTTAGCATGACCCACTTTTACGTAGATACGCTGCCTTAATCACCAGCACTGCCCACATAGTTGGTAGTTTCACGCGGTAACAAGCTGACCTACTGCTCGGTAAGTTACTCCTATTCTGCTACGAACCCAGCCTAGAGTTCATTAGTCCCAGCCTGTTCCAGTAAAATGAGCCAAGTATGGGACCAGAAGACTATAAAGCAGGACAAAATCACACTTTTACAATGCTTCAGCACCCTACGATAGACTTTTGTAACCGGCAATGTCCCGACCCTACCGGAGCATATGGTGGCTTGAATTGAACATATGATTGCATTTAATATATTATCCATATTTGATTTTGCAACTAATTCCAATATGGTACCTGGGCCTGGAGTTGGGAGTGATGGTTCTGGCTCCTTGTTGCTGGAGGTTGGAGGTGGGGGTGTCTTGTCCTTCGCTCCAGTTGGTTCTTGAGGAGGAGCGCCACTCTCTTCAGGAGCTGGCTTTGTTGGCTTTTCCTCAACCGGGGGTTTGGGTGTCACTTGGAAAAAAAAGCAAGGGATGGATGTTGACAGAATTTAGATTGCTAATGAATTTTCAGTTGAACCTTGTAAAATGTTGTAAGCAACCTTCAGTCGATATTTTCAATTTGCATTACGAATAATTTACTTGAAAGTTATACTAAATCATGTATAGCTGTTTGCCAATACACTGCTCAATTAAATCCTTCTCACGGTGTCTGCGTTGGGGGGGTTATTTTACCATCCTTCATCATGCTCTTCAGTGGGGTTTATTGAACGTCCGATGAGGGAGCATGGAAGTACATCACAATTAAGAGGTGTGGCATTCTGCTCTGTGAAGTCTATATTGTAAATATTCAGCCTATGACATCTGTTACACAGATTGTCACCTATCCAACACCTATCCATAAGCAAGTCTTAATTCGTTTCTGAGATCTAACAAATTAAGTCCCGTTGTTTGATTTGATCATAAGCAGTATACTTCCTGTATATATAATCTTATAAAATGAACACACCTGGCCCTTCTGGGGGTGATGGTTCTGGCTCCTTGTTGCCGGAGGTTGGAGGTGGGGGTGTCTTGTCCTTCGGTGCAGTTGGTTCTTGAGGAGGAGCGCCACTCTCTTCAGGAGCTGGCTTTGTTGGCTTTTCCTCAACCGGGGGTTTCGGTGTCACTTTGAAAGAAAAGCAAGGGATTGGTGATGACAGAAGGCATTTTGCATTGACTTGGGAGCATGTATTTACAGCAAAATAAAGGAATGTGTTATCCTGCCCTCTGCAGCCTATAACATGGAGACTATGACACATGTTATGGATGTGGTCACATTTTCCTGCCAACCATGGCAACACTATTTCGTTTCTGAGATCTGAGAAATGTATGCACATTCTGTGCTATTTGATCGTAAATATTATATGGCCGGTATGAACTTAAAAATATTTTTTTAAACTTGCAAACGTAACACACCTGGCCCTTCAGGGGGTGTCGTTTCTTGGCTCCTTGTTGCCAGAGGTTGGAGGTGGGGGTGTCTTGTCCTTCGGTCCAGTTGGTTCTTGAGGAGGAGCGCCACTCTCTTCTGGAGCTGGCTTTGTTGGCTTTTCCTCAACCGGGGGTTTTGGTGTCACTTTGAAAGAAAAGGCAAGGGATGGATGTTGACAGAATTCAGATTACTCATGCATTTTCAGGTGAACCTTGTAAAATGTTGTAAGCAAACTTCAGGCAATACTTTCAATTTGCATTACGAATAATTTACTTGAAAGTTATACAAAATCGTGTATAACTGTTTGCCAATACACTGCTCAATTAAATCATCCCCACGGTGTCTGCTTTGGGGGGCTTATTTGATGATGCTTCATCATGCTCTTCAGTGCGGGTTAGTGAACGTGGGATGGGGAGCATGGAAGTACATCACAATAAAGAGGTGTGGCATTCTGCTCTGTGCAGTCCATATTGTAAATATTCAGCCTATGACATCTGTTACACAGATTGTCACCTATCCAACACCTATCCATAAGCAAGTCGTAATTAGTTCTGAGATCTAACAAATTAAGTCACGTTGTTTGATTTGATCCTAAGCAGTACGTCCTGTATATATATAATCTTACAAAAGGAACACACCTGGCCCTTCTGGGGGTGATGGTTCTGGCCCCTTGTTGCTGGAGGTTGGAGGTGCGGGTGTCTTGTCCTTCGATGCAGTTGGTTCTGGAAGAGGAGCGCAAACCTTACTAATTGGCTGTGTCGGGTGGTAGCGGAGTTAAAAACTAATTTATATTTATGCGATCTAACCCAGAAAACATCATGGATATGATGATATCAATATATTAACCATGTGCTTTGCAACTAATTTTACTAATGTACCTGGGCTTCGTGAAGATGGACTTGGTGCAGGAGGTCCACCTGCTCTGGAGCAGCAGAATCTGACCTTGTAGTTGTAACATGGCAGTCCTCCTTGATCCTCATTTACACATTTCAGTCCTTTATTCTTGTCACAAGTTATTGTCTGGCCCAATTCCTGCCATGGGGTATTGGGGAATCTCTCTGCTTTGCATTCAATGTTTTGCACTGGTGAGTCAGGCAGACAAACCACTTTCCCTGAGGCTATGACCTTCTGGTAAGATTCCTCATCTCCGCCATTTTCTTCATCAGGATATTGCTCATCGTACCAATCAGACCAGCCTGGAGTACAGTCTTCTGCAAAGATACATTTTAAATCAGCCTTCAAACGATTACTATATATATCAACTCCTTTTTCTACATTGTAATGTTCTGAAAACTACATTTTTTTAATCAAAACTATGAATGCTCCATTGCTATGAGCGTAATACAAACTTTGAATATCATTTTGCACAGGAAGTATACAATGAGTCTCTTCATCCTGAGTTAACCGTACGTAAACCTTTAGAATGTTGTGGAGGCTCAAAGCTAAAGAACAGTGAGCTGCCAACTCCTTCTGTTAGCATGACCCACTTTTACGTAGATACGCTGCCTTAATCACCAGCACTGCCCACATAGTTGGTAGTTTCACGCGGTAACAAGCTGACCTACTGCTCGGTAAGTTACTCCTATTCCGCTACGAACCCAGCCTAGAGTTCATTAGTCCCACCCTGTTCCAGTAAAATGAGCCAAGTATGGGACCAGAAGACTATAAAGCAGGACAAAATCACACTTTTACAATGCTTCAGGACCCTACGATAGACTTTTGTAACCGGCAATGTCCCGACCCTACCGGAGCATATGGTGGCTTGAATTGAACATATGATTGCATTTAATATATTATCCATATTTGATTTTGCAACTAATTCCAATATGGTACCTGGGCCTGGAGTTGGGAGTGATGGTTCTGGCTCCTTGTTGCTGGAGGTTGGAGGTGGGGGTGTCTTGTCCTTCGCTCCAGTTGGTTCTTGAGGAGGAGCGCCACTCTCTTCAGGAGCTGGCTTTGTTGGCTTTTCCTCAACCGGGGGTTTGGGTGTCACTTGGAAAAAAAAGCAAGGGATGGATGTTGACAGAATTTAGATTGCTCATGAATTTTCAGTTGAACCTTGTAAAATGTTGTAAGCAACCTTCAGTCGATATTTTCAATTTGCATTACGAATAATTTACTTGAAAGTTATACTAAATCATGTATAGCTGTTTGCCAATACACTGCTCAATTAAATCCTTCTCACGGTGTCTGCGTTGGGGGGTTATTTTACCATCCTTCATCATGCTCTTCAGTGGGGTTTATTGAACGTCCGATGAGGGAGCATGGAAGTACATCACAATTAAGAGGTGTGGCATTCTGCTCTGTGAAGTCTATATTGTAAATATTCAGCCTATGACATCTGTTACACAGATTGTCACCTATCCAACACCTATCCATAAGCAAGTCTTAATTCGTTTCTGAGATCTAACAAATTAAGTCCCGTTGTTTGATTTGATCATAAGCAGTATACTTCCTGTATATATAATCTTATAAAATGAACACACCTGGCCCTTCTGGGGGTGATGGTTCTGGCTCCTTGTTGCCGGAGGTTGGAGGTGGGGGTGTCTTGTCCTTCGGTGCAGTTGGTTCTTGAGGAGGAGCGCCACTCTCTTCAGGAGCTGGCTTTGTTGGCTTTTCCTCAACCGGGGGTTTCGGTGTCACTTTGAAAGAAAAGCAAGGGATTGTTGATGACAGAAGGCATTTTGCATTGACTTGGGAGCATGTATTTACAGCAAAATAAAGGAATGTGTTATCCTGCCCTCTGCAGCCTATAACATGGAGACTATGACACATGTTATGGATGTGGTCACATTTTCCTGCCAACCATGGCAACACTATTTCGTTTCTGAGATCTGAGAAATGTATGCACATTCTGTGCTATTTGATCGTAAATATTATATGGCCGGTATGAACTTAAAAATATTTTTTTAAACTTGCAAACGTAACACACCTGGCCCTTCAGGGGGTGTCGTTTCTTGGCTCCTTGTTGCCAGAGGTTGGAGGTGGGGGTGTCTTGTCCTTCGCTCCAGTTGGTTCTTGAGGAGGAGCGCCACTCTCTTCAGGAGCTGGCTTTGTTGGCTTTTCCTCAACCGGGGGTTTGGGTGTCACTTGGAAAAAAAGCAAGGGATGGATGTTGACAGAATTTAGATTACTCATGCATTTTCAGGTGAACCTTGTAAAATGTTGTAAGCAAACCTTCAGGCAATACTTTCAATTTGCATTACGAATAATTTACTTGAAAGTTATACTAAATCGTGTATAACTGTTTGCCAATACACTGCTCAATTAAATCCTCTCCACGGTGTCTGCTTTGGGGGGCTTATTTGACTGATGCCTTCATCATGCTCTTCAGTGGGGTTAGTGAACGTCGGATGAGGGAGCATGGAAGTACATCACAATAAAGAGGTGTGGCATTCTGCTCTGTGCAGTCCATATTGTAAATATTCAGCCTATGACATCTGTTACACAGATTGTCACCTATCCAACACCTATCCATAAGCATGTCTTAATTAGTTTCTGAGATCTAACAAATTAAGTCACGTTGTTTGATTTGATCCTAAGCAGTATACTTCCTGTATATATAATCTTACAAAATGAACACACCTGGCCCTTCTGGGGGT